CAATCGACGGGAAATGGTTCTGGTCGACACGGGAACGTCCAGGGTATCTTGCACATGCTGCAGAATCGCGGTACAAGTGTCTTGCGGGACCGCCACAGCTTGTCGGCGGATGCGTCTTTCCACGCGTGCTGACGTCACTCTGGCTGCACCTGCACTCCTGCTTCTTCCCACATTTCCTTGTTCCAACCATGTTCGCCATAGCCGATGCACCGTGCTCGCATCCATGTGGGTATCAGCTGCGATTTGACGTAAGGGCCAAACCGCCCTTCTCAGTCCATCACCATACCTCTCGTAAAATCGTCTATCTGGCTGGAAGTGCCTTCGTTGACGGCGGCCTGGCATTCTTTCCTATTACACGTATCCTCCGGGACGCTTATCGGCAAACCGCACATTAAGTTGATCAATGTTAACGAATTTCGCATACTGCGCATGCTCAGTGGTGTATCGTTGGCATGGGAGAAAATACTGGCGACGAAGCATAAGCAACCCTACACAAGCCTGTTCGAACAAGCTCGATGTCATTTACAATTGCAAATACTGCGGAAATTTGTGTATTGCATTCTATTTCATTTCATTTTGATTTATTTTGTTCATAAACATTACATCTAATATCAGTTTTTTACAATAATTTCTTTGACTTTAATTCAGTAATTTAAACTAGATTTAATCCTTAGTTTGTTAAAGTATATATGAATGGAACGTATGGTAAATATTCAATTGCTTTTATTCCTCAGAATTATAATCAGCTAATATATCTTGTAATGGTTCCTGTTTTGTAATCCTCCTTAAACGAAAATTTACATAGTTTACAATCGATATTTACACTCCAAGTAATGAAGCAACTTACGACCTGACATGTTTTGAAACCCAGAAATGTTTACGCGAAAGATAACACAATATCTCAACCATACACCATATTTATCTTCTTTTAAAACTGCGCCTTTTAAAAGTCGTAACTGCGGCAAATTCTCTACTGGGCATGCGCAGTAAGCGAAAATCGTTTAACATTGATCAACTGAATGTGCGGTTTGCCATTACGCCTCCGGGACAAAAACCAACTTTCTTCGATAATTCGCCTAGCAGAAATTAACGACACGAATATTGCCCATTCTGCACGTTCCTTTTTTTATATCTTACTTCACGTGCGTCGGAGAGCTGCGCATTTCACATCATTAGCATAACTCAGTGACGTGCGTCTACTCTAAAATTTTGCATAAATTTCTGACCACTCCTTCTTGGTGTTGCATTTTCAGTGTCGAGCAGTGTATATCAGTGTCAAAAAATTTTAGCGTTCTGTTCTGGTCTGTCGTCAAACCCTCACAATTTCAGGGGGGGGTGACGAATCAATGATCTTGTTTTCTCCTCTGTGATCGCTCCAGATGCAACGAATCAGAGTATGTAAAATACAACCGAAAAATTAAGGAGGCGTGGCTAATTCAGCCAGCAGATTGTTTCCATCCGAAAAATACGCCAGAATGCTCTGGAACTCTCGAATAGAAAGACCCTCGTTAGCAGGTTTCTCATATAACGAGGACTCGTCACAACAATTGTTCGTTACAAGAACCGTTCGTTACAGTAATTGTTAATGCACATCGTTACAATAATTGTTCTGTTTCCCGTGTTATCAGATATTGCAACACAGCTTCTCGTAATTGCAATAAATATGAGTTAAAAATGCCGTAGGTATTACGCAGCGTCACAATTGTACTAATCATTATATGGTGTCGGGGCCCACCAGCGGCCGAGCGGTAGAGTCGCTGAACACTGGTAGTTCGGTCCGAGGTTCGAATCCCGCGAACGGACTGGCTGCATGGGTGTTTTCGTGGTTTTTCCCATGTGTAACGTGTATACCAGTCAGTTTCCCTTAGAAAGTCCTTCACGGAGGCATCAATCCCGTTAGGCAGATATCTCTAGTGTGCTTTGCCATAATTAAATACACGCACACGCACATTATATTCTATCGGAAACGCTACTTGCCACCAGTTTACCATAACCTATCAGTGCTTGATATATCAATATTCCAGACTTCGCCTTTCTTATCATCGCGATAATCGTTGTTTCTTCAACTGAAATAATTTTAGAGTTTACATTCTCATTTCATGTAATTCTTGACTTAATTAAACCGAGGACTTTCTTTCTTGAAAGTGCTTAAGCGTTTACTTCATTCAAGCACTCAAATTCATTTTTAGCACTTGTTATTTGGTACTTTTAAGTTCTCTTCGAGAGCACTTAACATTTTACACAGGATGTAAAAGATGAAAAGACAATATGATAGTTTTATTCTAACGCATAGCACTTTGAAAGTACAATAAACAATAAACAATGACAATAAACAGAGAAATTTAAAAGTACGTAGATTTACTGACGGCTGTCAAAAAGGCTTTTAGCAAAAAATAGCCTTTTGTTTCCAGTTACTTCAGATTTACGCAAATATAGGTTAAGAACGGAAAACACAATTACATCAGTCTTTTAACATTGTAATGTTCTGCGACGATAAAGTAATACAAAAGCATGAACTTTATATGCTGTAACATTTGAAACAGAAAGTTATTTTGGTGTAGCTGACAGTAAAGAAATAGTCTTTTTGTAAGTACAGAATTGTTCTTATTTTGGAGAATTTTTTACTTCCTTGTACGAAGTAAGGCAAGTATTGTAATCGCGAAACGTTTTGGGTATTATATTTCAACGGAAGTATCCAGATCGACCGTTATCGAAACCATTTTGGGTATTTTTTTCCGTGACGGTAACAATAGTACCTAGAGCCATCCAATTTTGAATAACGTATTCCTTCGACCGAAAAAAGGTATTTGGAAGCCCGAATTTGGAATTAGTTTTATTATATATTTCAAATTTCATAAAACTTTAACGAACATTTTATTAACAGACACGACGATTTTAAAGCGATCAATGGCAACACTGTACGGGGAAAAAATATCTCCAGTGCGCGAGGCTGTGTATCGGAAATTCTAAATATAGGCTGTTTTTATTTTGTGATATTGCTGTTGAACTGAATTTCATGTGGTTAAAGTGCGAAGAACATGATATTAAATAAATAAAGGTAATAAACACACAAAACATTAAAAAAGTCCTTTTGGGTGTAATATAAAATCTGCTTTCAAAATTTTTTTTATATTATTTTGTATTTACTCTTTTTACTTCCTTGTACGAAGTAAAAAGGAAGTATTGTAATCGCGAAAAGTTTCAGGCAGCATATTTCAACGAAAATATCCATTTTGACAGCTATCGAATGCAATTTAACGATGCTTTTGCCTGATATCTGTACGTAAGGACAGAATATAATAATCTTTTCCTTCAAAAAAATTATAAAACTGCTTTAAAATTAATTCTGAAGAGAATTTTTCGTGGCGTCTGTACGAACGTATGTACCTACGTACGTATCTCGCATAACTCAAAAACGAGCAGCCTCAGAACGTTGAAATTTTGTATATAGGACTGCTATAACATGTACATGTGCACCTCGTATTTGGGTTGCAATCGGCCGCACCAAACGTATATAAATACATTTATATATATATCCACTCTATTACCCGGTTCAGTGATCTCAGTTTCTTTACTCTTATATGTTTGTAAATTGTACATTTTTTGCTTTACAAATGATTGAATTATGTTGTTTTTATCTTCCGGTTAAGGATTTTATGCCTTTAGTAAATCTGTGTGCAATATTTTTAGAATTATCAGCAATTTTAAAGTTGTTTAATTGCCGCTAAGCCTGTTTTTAATGGCGGCCATTGATCTTTACATTTGAAACAGGAGACTAGTGGATTTGTTGCCAATCTAGAGAAACTTAGCTTCCCAACAACAAAGATAATGCATTGATTTATTATTGCCAATTAAATCATCCTTAATTCTTTCTGGAATTTTTGCGAGGAAATAAGCGTTTGAGATTTACTTCGTAATTTTTAATATAGATATTTTGAGTTTTTATGTGTTTTTGCCTTCTCGCGAAATGAGAACTGAATTAATTAAATGAGAAATACTCAATCGTCTGTGAAAAACTGTTTCTTTTTTGTTTTGTTTGCTGAATTTCTTTATACATAATTCTAGCTTTATTATAGTATTTGAATAGAACATGTGGCAACGATTAGATAATTCTTTAAATGATATACATTTTGTGCATTCTGAGTTATAATATGAATGAAATATAATATTGTTCAGTAAACCTAGCGCCAGAGTGTCGCTATGGTAAACAAAGTGAATTTTAAAAAGAATGCATTTATTCTATTGTGATTTATGCGCTGTCGGCGAAGTAGGTTTAATTCAATCCAATAAGTTTAAATAAAATGCAAGAAAAAATGCGTAAATTTAATATTCCGTACAAGGAAGTCATGTGGTGTACACATCAGATATATATTTTTTTTTTTTTAAATTCAGCGTAAATTTTTGTTTGTTTGTTTGTTTGTTGTTAAGTTTTCTATCTGGTTCTCAGTACTTGTGTGAACTCGTAATGTTCTCGGAACTTGTTAAGTTCGCCTTCATTAAAAATCGAATTCTACTTTTCTAGCATTCCATTCTCGCCTTTCGTGAAAACTCTGACAATTAAGAATACTTTTACGCGGTAAAGAAACATTTATAATTGTTGTGAAGCATGACCTATTTATTTCATACATAAATTCAAGTAAAATAAATTATATATTAACAACTTCGATATAAATTTGCGATGTAAAGTGGAATTTTAAGAAATATCTAAGGCGACAGGACAAAAATAAATGAACGCACGAATTTTATTTAAAATGAAACAAAACAACGAAAAAAAAAATAAATAAAATAAAACTTAAAAACTGGACGTCCTCAGGTGCAACGAACAGAAATAAAAGTAATTAGGTGAATTTAAAAAATGACTGCCAATTAAATATACAGCCTTCTCAGTATAATACTGAGAATTTAACTGCATATTAGAGATTTTTCGCATAGCTTTGATAACTGGCAGAATAAAATGTTTTAAGATGAATGCAAGAAAAATATGTGATATAAATACTTACAGGATAACCAGTTTTGTTAAATTTTTGAACGCAAAATCGGGAACGCCTTGTATCTTGTTCTCCCCCAGATCGCTGAAACAAAAACAGTAATTAATTTTTTCATCATTCAGTACATTTTTAAGTAAACAAAATTATACTGTTAATAATAACTCATAAAATTTTAGATCAGAATTAAAGCGGTTATGTGTGTTTAGTTTTCAGGTGAAGGATATATACCAAAGCTTTCATTTTACCTACCTACCTGTCTACGAGAAGAATAGGTGCTGCCACAGTGTCTGGCGGGTGTCGGTCGCTATAGCAACAGGGCTAGTGTATTTCAAATAGGGGAGAATCAAGGTTTGCCAGTTCACCATTAAATGCGGCAAGATGGTAAACTGAAAAGTCAATCTTCAAGGCACCCTTACGGAAAATGGGTCAACGCTCGTTTCTACGGACAGTTGCAGACTAACTGGCGACAGCTTTTGCTTATGATAGCCAGACTGTACCTACCTTTTCATTTTACCAGCATTTGTCAGCTATTACAGCCGCTGATGTGAGATGTCGTGCCAGTGTCCTTGTAACCATGATTCAAACATGCTTATGGGCTGAAAAATCTCGCGACTTGACTGTTCAGTTCACACGCGACGGGCCAAGCTGGCGCGAATGATCGCGCCAGCTTGGTCCGTCGCGTGTGATGTGCGTTCGCGCTTTGTCCTGCTGGCTCTATTGGAGTCTTGAAGACAAGTGTTTTTCTTGTTGCTACTAATCTCCATGTCCAGGAATATACTAGACGAGATCCACGAGTCCATTCACTTTCAGAAAAATCGAAAATAAGCTTAGGAGACTTGTATAGGTCCTCAAGAGACAACTCCAGGCACTCAAGGATATGTGCTGGTGCATTTTGACATTTAGAACAAATTGCGTGCATCTTGAGACCTTTCTCAAAAGTGAGTCCTTTCAGGTGTCCACTGAAGAATGGGGAAAGTGTTGTCTGAACACATCTATCGCAAACAATAGCAAGAGATCTTCCAGAACAATCAGCTTGACACCAAGGATGATTCGGGGGAATGAGCCAAATTTGCCTGTGTGCATGTCTTCTAATGGAATACAGTTCAAGAGATGTCAATGAATTGGTAACTAGTAATGGTTCTTCAGAACCCTCCTTTGCCAGAATGTCTACAATTTCATTCCCCCATATGTCAATATGGGAAGCAAGGCCCCCTCAAGACCTGTAGGCTGCCTCAACGTGGCGAGGAGGTGGCACAGGGTGGAATAGGCGAAGTACGTCGGGAGTGTATACTCCTGGTAGAGCCACCCAAAGCATGGAGGCTATTTCACTATACCCAGCTAAAGCCTACAGGCATCTGAGCTAAGCCAGTCCTGTATCATTGGTGTTCGGGTCTCACGACTTACAGAAGACTAAGTACGTCGGGAGTGTGTACTCCTGGTAGGGCCACCCAAGGCATGAAGGCTATTTCACTATACCCAGCTAAAGCCTACAGGCATCTGAGCTAAGCCAGTCCTGTATCATTGGTGCTTGGGTCTCACGACTTACAGAGGCTGCCCTTTTCCTCCACCCATGAGTCATGAAGACATGTGGTAACCGCAAGCGCAATAATTTTACGAATGCTACATTGACTGGTGGAATACGGATTTGCATACTCAACAAAATCAGGGCTCTTAACAAAGGCACATTAAATGTTGAGTCAATATGACGACGGCCAGTACAACTGGTCCTCACGGTGGTCCATATAATGTTACTTCGTCTATGCTGAACGTATAGGAACCTACTGAACAGTGTAGCAACTTATCGCTGAGTTCCAGTATTTAACGACAAAGTCCAGAGAAGGGTTAAAATACCCTTTTATTCACTCAAAGAAATTATTGCCCCTGCTCGGGCTTACAGGAAAGCCTCTACTCGGGCTCTTAAATCAAGCTAAGAAAATAAGAAACTAATCTAATACTAAACGGACTTAGCCGAAGCTAGACACAATTACCTAGCGTAGTTGGCCCTTCATTAATTTAATCGGCGATTATCAACAAAACACGTATAATACGGTCTTTGGACTCCTAAGCTCTCCTATTGAAGTAAGCTGAACCTTCCTTAAATACTCCTTCTACCTCATTTACATGCAATGCTATACTAAAACCTCATTCTGGTAGGGAGTCAAGAACTGAAAGGAAAGGGTTTCAAAATTAAAAATAACTGTTATAAAATTACGAGTAATACAAACAGCCACACAGGAAAAGGACCATCGTGGCTCTGAATTTAAAAGAGAGATTTTTTTCTAAAATGTTGACGCCATGTCATTGCTGAGTCTATACGCGTTCATGCAATATTGCATTCTGGATACAAACACCTGTCCCCTATCATTCATAGGTAAAGTAATGTCAGCCTTGCAAACAGTTGAAGAAGCTGAAAACGATGTTATTAGGACACTTGTTGCTATGCCTAATAATTTCATTCCTGAGTTATGGTACGTGATATAGTTCTATGAAGCTTCAGGCGAATGGGTCCAAGGCGTTTGTTCTTCCGAACATTAATACATTCTTTGTCAGATAAGTTCCAGGACAGTTTTTATTTCTGTTTGCAGTACTAAAAAAGGAACAAATGTTGTTTTTAGGTTACCTGGTATGTATTCTTACTTGACATGACCTTGTCCATGTTTCCACGCAAACTTGCTAGGTGGCAGAGCTGTTCTTAGCAACACACTGTTCGGACTGTTGTCGCATTCGTTCAGGTGACACAATGGACGCCGATTGTGAGCAAAGAGTGAACATTAAGTTCTGCGTTAAGGTCGGGAAAACCCATAGTGGAACGTGGAATATGATAACACAAGCATATGCAGGCGAGGCATTTTCGAGAAGTCGTGTTTTCGAGTGGCACAAAAGGTTTCGGGAAGATAGAGATTCAGTGCAAGACGATCCCAGAGCTAGTTGGCCGTCTATAGCACATGCCGACGCAAATGTGGAGCGTGTAATCCAGTTATTGCAAGAAGACCGTATGATATCAGAAGAATTGAATTTGTGTCTGTCATAAGATTTTACGCGAAGATTTAGGGAAATGGAATCGTCCCTCGCTCACTAACAGATGAACAGAAAGAGGAAAGACGAAGAATTTCTGCTGAACTATTGGATGGAGCCAGACGTGATGACGCATTCGTGTCAAAGAATATTGTGATTTTTTTTCTTGTTTCCGTGAGTGGAAAGGTGACTGAAAGGTAAGCTTCATCAAGATTATTGCAGACATCCCAAGGGCTGTGACAAATGAGCTTGCCAGCATCGCAGTTGAAGATTTCCCTGTTTACTTCCAAGACCTCCAGAAATGTTGGCAGTTGTGTATAGATAGCCAATTGGACTACTTTGATAGCAGCTAGCATCATTACTTGGTAAATGAAATTTTCTATTTTTTTACGATCTTAGTCGTGAAGCTTTTCTGACAAAGAATGTATGTGGGTGTCACAGCAATTCTACTCCTTTCCGTCGGGTTCTTATGGAACCATCAATTCCATTTCGGTATGATAGGGGTTGCATTTCTTCCAATGTGAGGGCCATAACTTAATCCACATAATAATTCTCTTGCGATCAAATTTGCACACGGGAGGGGTTAAGTTCCCCTTTCTTACGAAAAACAAACTTAAACTTTCTTAATGAAGACAGTTGAACTGTGAGCAAAAGCGGTTTCCACATGAAATGTTGAGTCTGCTTTCCTGTGTTACAGTATTAGACAGTACTGTTACGAAACGTACAGGCGCGATAAGATGGCTTCCACGCAAAGCAATTTTAGGGTTGCCATAAAATGGCAAAGAAAGGCAGGGTTGCCACATTTGGCGATAAATCGCCCATTTGGTAACATTTGACAACAAATTGGCGAGATACCATGGACGGATGGAGAACCTTCTGGAACGAATTCTTACCGATTTAGCTCAGAATGTTCTCGAACACCAGCCAAAAGCTATATAAATCCTGCTGGTACGCGGAGAATTAGTTAGTACTGTGTGTGTGTGCCTCGTCTAGCGAGTCAGCCATTGAGCGAGTGTCTCGAAGTCTAGCGCCGAGTTGGTCGTCGAGTGCATCGAAGAGTCTCTTAGTGTATCGCGGTTAGTGCATCGTCGAGAGAGTGTGTTAAGCTTCGGGAACGACTGAACCGAAGAGTCGCGAGCTGTGTTCTGTGTGTCGTCGAGGGCATCGCGAGCTGTACCGTGGAGAGTCTCGAGAGTACGTGGAGTTCCGAGAACGACCGAGCAGAGTCGGGAGCTGTACTCTAGTGCTTAGCAGTGAAGCCGTCTCCACCGTGATAGCCTGATAACCTGAACGCTGTGTCGCTGATTGTTCCGAGTGTATAGTAGATCTTCAACGACTGTGAAAAGTGACTTTGGAGCTGTCCTGATTAATATTGGATAAATAAAGTGTGTTTCGATACTTCATCAAGTGTCGTCGTTATTCACTCCAAAATCTATAAACCCCGTACGAACGTGAAGGAAGAAAATAACATAACAACTGGTGTCAGAAAATAACGTTAACAACTGGTATCAGAAGAAAAACGCAACAGTACGATGGTAAGTGGTAACGATGCACACATTCTCAATCATTTGCGTATCTCATTACGTTGTACGTATCATGCGAATTTGAAGTTTATCATACGCTTCCTTCGTCGTGTTGCGATTTTAGTAATCAGGAGTATTATTTTGGCATTAAATTTTTGTCACTAAACATATGTTAGGGTCCAGGGCAAAGTTATCAATTTAAGTATTAATTTTAAAAGATAATGAAGCATTTCCGGTGTATCTTCTCGCATTTTCAATGCTTGGTTGTCTTCCTTTACTTTCTTAAGGAAAGGTTTGGTTTGGTTTAGTTTATTATGGCAAAACACACTAGGGCTATCTGCCTAAGGGAAGGGATGGGTAAAAATAAATTTCAAGGTACGCCTTGGCGAATTTTTTGGCGCCATTCCTGTTTACGTCCAACGCCCTCCCCAGTAAAATGACGTCCAAAACATAATGCAATGTAACATAATTAAAACAAAAAATATATAATCTCAATAAACTGCATTTTAAATCAAACAGGGTAATAATTTAAGAATGGAAATATCT